CCCAATCGTTAGTTTAGAGCCACTTGAGAAGAATGGAATAATTACTTGCGTTGGATGCTATGCACAAGTTAATTATAATACTGTTTAGCATAATATAATATTTACATAAATTAAGAAGATCGGTTTGTTTATTATACGGTAGGTACACACTTTGGGCCACCGACTTTCTCTCGATTGCTACACACCGACCGGATTGGTCAGTTACTTTACAATGGGAGTAAACGACGACAAAAAGTCGATTTAAATCTGATAACGACCTCAAGATAATAGAAGAAACCTTAAAAAAGCATATCACGTGTTCAGCAACATCAAGTGCTACCTCTACAGCCGGTAATAACAAAAACAACTCGGTCATTGCACATTTCGACTGTTAAAAACGAATTGTAATGAAGCCTTGAAATGAAAGAAACCAGTAATAAAACCGGCCTTTTAAGAAAGAAGAGATTTATGCGCTACCAAAGTAACAATACGAATCAATTAAAATAGTACCTAAGCGCTGTACCTAAAATAAACGACGGTAGATCACGCAATAATAATCACAAATTCACTTGCACAAGAAAACACGATTTTTTGTTTACATAGTCGCGACATGTGCGAACTCGCCTCGAAGAATTCTTTAACGAAACTGAACTCGAAAACAAGTGTCGAATGTACAGCGCCGCGCACCGCGAGGCGGTCAAGTGAAGGAATTACCTCTACCTTGCGAGTTGCGACGACGCTTTATCTCTTGTTAGAAATCTATCTCCATTGTTATCCTCTAGGATGCTGTAATTTTAAACAACGGATTATTTCGTGCTTTCCCGCAGGAATTTGCGCGTTCCGCTTCCTTCTCGACGAAAGGCATGGGAATATCTAAATGGTCATGAACCTCTTCGTGCACGTTGCACGAGTACTTCTACACGCGATTTTTTCCAGATGACAGGGTTTCCAAAAATAATCAAATTTTAATATCGTCGCCTAAAAATAAAATTCCCGTTAGAAGATGTCACTTACATCCTTTATTCTACAAATTGTTTTCCGTCATTTCATCTCCATTTCCGCATTTACACTAAACTTACGAGTGTTATACAGAAAGTTTCATATAAAAGGAAATTATATAAAAACGGAAAAGGGACGTGTCATAAAGTTGTTTCCTCTAAAAGAACCGATGCGTCCTTAAGTTTGGTATCGATTTGTGCACTTTTTACGTTTTATACGGTAAAAACAGAAATTTGAATTTTTAAATTTGGGTTTACAACTTCATCATGGATTTCCATTTAACCCAAGTGGGTACGACAAAGGGAATGTGGTAGCCGTCTACAAGATCTTATTGATTGATGGTGGTGTCAAAACTGGCCAATAGAATACTGATGCTGATCTGCCACACAAACATAAAGTCCCTTCGATCTCACAGGAGTACGAGTACTTTGATCATGTTTTGTATATCTAGGTACTGTGATACAAGATATTATCCTGTCAGTTTTAAAATTTGTATCGTTTCCGTTTGAATGAATTCTATTAAAGGAGAACGCTACGCCACTGCAGTTATTTTACCCGGGAAGTGCAGCAATTCAAATTGTACAAGGGCGAGAGAAGTGCGCATGCTTTGCTTCTCTCAAGCGAAAAAGAGAAGCTGGCGAAGTTTTAGCTGAGGCGGCAGAACGTAAAAAGCTTTTGGTGGTATGTGTTTGATTCGTAAGTAGGTATACGTAAATAATTAGTAATTATGGATGGAGCGTAATTGTTTTATATTACTTACTTGTCGTTTTATCAGAGTGTTTACTGTTATAAATGTTACTAGATCTTCTCCCGCGATTTCGTTGACGGATATACGATAACAGAAACCCAGTCCCAACGTACAGAATATAAAAGTATAAACACATTGGCACGGTATGACGTAAGTGACTTGGCGTATGTATATATCGCTGCCGTAGCCAAATGTGACTATAGAGTCTATACAGGGTGAATAAAAAGTAAGGAACATTGATGCTGAAACCGTTACTATCGGTCATATTAAAAAAAGTTGTTAATAAAAGTTAAATGATTAAATATTTGCCATAATCTGACGGTTTTCAATTTTTTTTCCGCTAACTGATTCGCAACAGTTGGAAACGTATATTTTTTTCGGACTGTCCACCAGATTTGATTGATTATTATAATAATTTTGTGCAGAAACAAGTTAACAAAAGGTGTGTGAGAAGTTTAAAGCGATTTATACGTTTTATGAAAAAGTCTGTCAAGCAGTTAATGCACCTTGGGGCTTTCTATTAAGGTTGTTTTGTTATTAAAAGTTCATCTACTTAACATGAATACAATAAATTTGACATTTTATTCCGAAAATGACAACTACAACAAAATGATAACTACCAACAAAAAGTAACAGAGAAAATATAATAGGCGGCTTATTTGAACAGTATCTGAGCATCTTTTAGAGTTACAATTTTTGTTCTCGCAATATAGTCCAGGCTATGCAGGGTCATCCTTGACGAGCGTCAGTTAGAAAGATATGGAGAACCTTTGAAAATGAAACTAAACTGATAAGTCCTATAAGTAAGGGTTTTGACACATGATGAATTGAACTAATTTTCAAGATGGCGCCACTTTCGCAAATACCATAAGTAGCCATCAACTTTGTTATTTTAAATAGTGACCCCTTATTTTTTCTACATTTTCGGATTTTACGTCGCATTTGGAGTACAACGATACCCCATAGTTGACCCTTTGCTCCAAGGGCTTTGTCGATATTCAAGTTTTTATGTCAAAAATTGAATTTGCAGAGGTAATTTTAAAAATTTATTATTCGAAAACGATGAGAGATATTGCAAAACAGTTTTCACTGATCTATTAAAGAAAGATCGAATTTTCTTATGGTATGCGTAACAGTCTAAAAAAGTGAGACTGCGTCACTTTTTCAAAGCTCTCTTTTACATATTTAAATATCCATAAGACATAACCCCATTTTTTCAAATGGCACCCCCAATTTTTTTCTTCACTGTTGTTTTCCTTTTTCCGAGACCTTATTTAGTTTGATGCAAAATGTCAAAGGTTGGTTCAAACGGTTTCTGAGATATTCCATGTTTTAATTATCGTTGTACTCCAAATTCGACGTAGAATCCGAAAATGTAGAAAAAATAAGGGGTCCCTATTTAAAATAACAAAGTTGATGGCTACTTCCGGTATTTGCGGAAGTGGCGCCATCTTGAAAATATTTTAGTTTAATTCATCATGTGTCAAAACCAAATTATGTGCTGCAAGTGTACTTTCAATTTCGTAATAAAGTAAGATTCATTAACATGAATTTCGAAAAAATGAACTAATTTTTTAGATAAATGCAGAGAGCCGCAACTTTACATCAAAAGAGTGGGAAATCATTTACCATCCTCCGTACAGCCTTGATTTGGCACCCAATGACTACTATTTGTTCCCCAACTTGGAATAACACTTGGGGCAATGAAATCGACGCAGAGGTGACAGCAGATGTCGATTCCTTCCTGTTCCTGTGCAGGTCGGTGGGAGAGTAGTACGACGCGGGCATGGAAACGCTGTCGGGACCCAATGATCGTGACGGGTGCTACGTGGAAAAAGTAGCTAGGTCTCCACGCGTTCCACTGCACCACTGGCAAAATCCATAAGACAGTGCTCGACGTTTCAGTTTCGTCAGATGGAGATTTAACATCTGGTGCTCGAGACCGACCCTTATAGGTACCATCAGGAATGAAATTTTCCTTTCATTTTATAATGTGTGTCTGTTGATCAATTTTGTGTCTATAGGCCTAAGATCCAAATAAAGCTAAGTGTGGCTCTGTATATAGAATCTGGAATTTGGAGTTACAGACCACGTCACCAATCTAATTATTAATTACCTAGTAATTTCTAACGAGAACATGAGAGAGGTTAGAAAAGTGATTCCAAATAGTAGTAAACTGTTACTATTTGGGGTGGAGATATTGCAAAACCTCTACTAACGTTACTTGGCACTTGGCTATTTTGATTCCAGTGAGTAATTGAGTGAAAATAAAATGGTAAATAAAAATGACATTAATTGAATAAACTAACACGGAAGTAACATGTTATACGTTTGCAGCAGCGGCCGTCAATCAAATCCGTGGTACATTTCAATCACTACAAAATTTGTAACAACAAGTGTTTTGGTTGTAACTATCTATAAATAAGATTGGTCCAGATTCTCGCAATTAAAATAGGTTGATTTTCCGGCACATTGACGTTATTTGGGATTCTTGTCTATAACATACTTTTCTTTTGTAATCAAAAATTGTTTTTCTCTGCAGTCGAAAACACATTTTTTCGGTAGATACCTACTCTAATTCAATGGTCGCTTAAGTGTTTGGTATTTGAAAGGAACACATGTCGTTATTAGTAAAAACCGGCGTATTAGTCGCCTACTTGTACAACATTTCCTCATCGGATATGATGCATTTAATCGCGTAATTATGCAAAATCTCTTCTAACTGGAACAGAAAATGTCCACTTTATCACTATTTGTTTAACAGTCAATAGTAATCGTCGAGCGTGGCTTGAAATGCTAATCATTTCTATAGCTACTTGAAGCTAATGGTAACCACCTCGACATTATTACCTACTGTTAGCTTTTTACTTTCTTATCCGCATGAAATTACGCAAATGCGTCGTAATTAGACTATTCTGTCGTGTAGTTACATGCTTTTAACGTGTGTTCAACTACACGCCAATGAAAGCGTTTTTTTTCTTAATAAATTATTATAAAAAAGTCAAGTACACGGAAACCGTCTTATTAAATCCGTCGAATTTACCGCTAAAATTCAAATGAGTTTTTCTATTTTATGTATTAAGAACGGTCAAGAGTGAAAGACTTTCGCAAGGATCCGTGTTGTATTTGCAAATATTTTTTTATGATTTCTGTGTTAAGTGAATGTATTGCATACATTGTTCAGATATGTAGGTTACAGTACCAAATTTCCATATTGTCGTACGCTCTTTCGAGAGACATCAATCAGTTCGCCTCTAAAGTGAAATGTACTTACTCTGTCATATTGGCCGGCCGAAGAGGGCGACGAAATTACGCCGACATCTCTGAAATAAAAATCAGTCAATATTATATTGTAACAACAGCATTTTAGGAAGAGGAATATCGCATTTAATAATTTCTAACGCCCTTACTGCTTGCTATACGTAGATACTTAAGTCCAATGGTTTTTGTTACGTAGGTACGATTTCTAGCAAGTTTGTTTAATTACTTTAATTTTTAAATGGGACACACTGTATTTTTTCATTTATTTCGATACCAAATGACGTTCTAAGTATAGTGACACGCCACTTGTCACTTTTTATTTTTTTTTATCTAAAGTGTTTGTACCATTTAAAATGGTTGATATGTGATCAAGTAACCAATGAAATATACATTGTGTACTTTTTAGCGCATTTTTGCAAATTTATTTGTAAAAAGGTAACTTTCAATATAACTTTGGCCTGGCCAGCCGGTCGGCTGGTTGGCCAGTAGCAAATGCGGGTCCGTAGAAGAAGTAGAGGAGTGTACGGGTAGCTACCGGTGCCGCGTAATTAACAACTTTAGCGACAGGGTGATATGAGGTCGGCGGCATCTGAGCGCCATCACCGAGCGTGTTATACTAAGGTGGTGATTTTTTTCTATCTTCCTATACAGTTTTGGTCCAATTGTTTTCAAATTTCAAACATCTCGTAAACGCGCCCAACTTCTGCGTAACAGAGTGTTGTTTTTTTCCTAGGGGCAAAATTAACCACCTTTTGCCAGGCACGCGTCGAATGGAAGAAAAAAACCTGAGCTTATTAATAAATGCACGATAAACAGAGACAAAAATTTCCAATTGTAAATAAAATTCAAGCGCAAATTAAATTCATATTGGGCACTGTGCACTTGGCAAGAAATTGCATTCAAATAAACAAATACAAAGTAAATCTAAAATCATTGACCAACAAAATGCAAGAACACGAATGCGGAATGACGCAAGTTTTAAGCGAAATCCATCAAAATGTGAATTGCGGGTGAACGGGATGTCGGAAGTGGGTACCGACAAAGGGAATGTTGTAGCCCCCGACAAGATCTTACTGATGGCGGAGTCAATACTTCAAACGCGAATTGCGAGTTGTAACGTTGTTTTCTTACCAATTAAAAATTTCTTATAATTATATTCCGTTTAAGTAACTCTTCGAAATGTACTCTTATTTAAATTTGACATTCTTACGCTATAGGTATCTCCTTTGTAAATCCGTTTAGTAAAAATGTATTCTTATGATAGATTGGTTATTAACTTAGTTCTTTATTTTTGCCGCTAGACGTCATCCGACTGTTATAAGATTCTTTTACAATTGTTCTTTAGTTCGTCGCTAGAGGTCGTGATCTTCTTTTCTTTTCTGCTTACGCACTCAACGACTTCTTCCCTTCAGTGACGATTTTGCCTTCATATTGCTGCCATGCAAATTAATCACTATATTTCTTTTGAGTGCTTTCTCTCTCTCTTTTTGATGTGTTTGTGGCTGCAATATTTGCAAGTGATTAGCATGAGGTATGCACCATTATGATTCAGCATTTTTTCAATACGTATTTTTTAGGGATTTACCTTCCCTCAAAGTTTCCTCAAAGTTCTCTTAAAGTTTCCTAATAGTTTTCTCTTAAGTTCTCATCGTTTTCTCATCTGGATTACTTTTCCGTTCTTCTTTCTCTACCTGGATATGACTTACGCAGAACGTGGATGACATCGCATTTTTACTTGGACCCGCCGTTTTAGCAAAATTGGCAGTGGCCACGTCACGTGATTCTACCTCATTCTGCCCACATTTCCTGGTGATCTACTTACATGGAAGTTGTTTTCCTACACTTCGATATAATTCCTGTCTAACTACAAGTATTAACGAAACCTATTCGAGACTATCGCTCTTTTGAATCGCTACGATATTTTTGATCCTACGTACTTTGTTCTTGTCGTTACCGGAAATCTATCTTGCGAGTCTATGAGTCGAAATGTTGCATTGTTAATTCATATTGAGTATTAATTACGGTTTTAGTATACGATTTATCTGATTAGTCTCAGACACTATCGCTATCACAATATTATGTGCCGCGTTTGCATTCTCCTTGTTGTTTGTTTGTTTGTTTATATGTTACAGATAAGGCAGAAAGCGCCCTTTTGAGCTCACAAGGCCGTTACAGTTCAAAGGTCATTTTTTCGTCGACTACTTGATATAATTTTTGATTACATACTGGTTTTCGATACAATCGAATTGTAATTACTACTGTTTGATAATCATTTAATTATAGCTTCGTGGAAGCCTGTTTTGATTTTAAAAATTTCTAGACTACGAGTTGATCCCCTTCTTGCTGAAAAGTAATTTAAACTTAAATATTGACATTTCAGATCTAGATATTACAGTGTCCTATTTGAAATATTTTGAGATCATTTATTAAACCACCCTCGATTGTGACAACGATTATTGTTGTCCTCCTGGACCTCTTATCGTGATCGGGTATATTCCCTTATAGCTTATACCTCAAGAACGGATTGTCGGAAGAGGGTACTCATAAAGGGTTATTGATTGAGACGCCTGCAAGAAATATATCCATTGGTAATGTCAAAACAAAAGCTATTTCGGTTAAAAAATCCGCTTTATCTGCACAAGAGTTCTGCACAATTTATACTTGTTTGAATGATGCATGAAATCCACTAATATATCCAAAGGTGTGAGATCTTAGCACCTATATGTAGCTCTTGTAACAAAGCGTTTTTTATTAAGAGGAAGTTAAATAGGTGAGTCCAATGAGATTATCCATCTATAAAATGATGACAGGCATAACCCGAAGACACTTCTCCACGTCTCCATGCAATCATTCTGCAGCTCCGGTGCATATTTGACAAATGAATTGCTGTTCGTGCATTTGTTTAATGAAATCTTATAACTAGTATAATAGAAAGAAAAAAAAATACTTACATACGTGCTGGTTGAATGACTCCCCGCTGTGGAGTACTGTCATGGATCTTCACTTGATTCGGCTGCACTTCCTCAAAACTCCTCCTTCGTTCCTGGTAATTGAAAATTTGCTCCATTAACGGACTCAGGGAGACGTTGGAGCCGCCGAGAATATCGTCGATGTTCTTGTGCTTTGAAATAAACAACGAATTTGGCTTCTTCAATTTGGAGATTTGTTCCTCCTCCTTTGGCATCTCCAATCCGTCGGGACTGGCGCGATCGCCTAACGGTATATTTTGTTCGTTTTCCGATTCCGTATCGGATGAGTGCTGGTGCGACTTAGGAGGTGTTTTCATCCACCACGCCCTCTCGCCGGAAACCTGATGGGTAATTTTGTAAGCGGGCTCTTTGCTCGCCGACTTTGGTTGGCTTGCCGCCTCCGATATGTTCTCGTTGCTACTCAACCACCACGCTTTTTCGCCGGAATCGATGTGCCGTATACGATACTTGTGAAAGTAGTCGCTCTTTTGGCTGTCCTGAGGTGGCGTTCCCACAGGGTACACCTCAACACCCTCCGGAGGAGTTGCGCTCTCGTCTAACCACCACGCTCGCTCCCCACTGTCAATACGACGCATCGCCCGTATTTTCGGAGATTTTGACTCCTCCTTTACCTTGCCACTTTCGTTGTCCTTATCGGTACTGCTGTCCATCCAGTTAACTCTAGAATCTGAATCTGGGCGTTTAATTTTGAATGCGGCAGCCACAGGAGTCAAAGCTCTTGTCAAAAATGATTCTTTTTCGGTCTTGGGCCGCGGACTCATCGGAGGTTTGGGCGAACCATCACCGCGTTCGCTCAGCAAAGACGTTCGATGTGATTTACTAATTTTACTCTCAGATTTTGTGTAAGTGGATTTGGTTTTTACGTCGTCTTCGCTTCCGCTGGCTGTGGTCGACTCGCAGTGTCCTTCTAATGGAACGCTAGGCGAACGCGTATTTGACCTAACGCTTCTAGTTTCGCTCGTCTCGCTGCTCTTTTTGGGCAGTCGAGATGCCGACGATGATTGTTTGTGGTACGACATACAGCTGGATAGGTTCTCGGACACATCGGTTGCCTCCGATGTGGGAAATTCCGCCTCGGAGTCCGCCGGACTGACCGATCCGTTATGGTGTCTCATCTTACTTTCGGGACTCATATTCAAGACCGACTTACGAAAATCTTTGTTTAATGTCGAACGTCGAGAGGTTTTAGGTGAGCTTTTCGACAATTTCGATTTTGAGTCCGTCGGCGTGAAACTTTTACTCACCGTTTGCTTATTGGAACTTGAATTTTTTGGTATTTGACTTTGACTAGAGCTTGGCGACGCCTTTGTATTTTTAGGACTGGAAAATTTTAAATCTAGATACGAAGACCATGGGGTTGCAGAAGTGTTGTTCACTTTTGCAGACTTGGAATTCTCGGAATTTAAGTCAGACGGAGTTCTTTCGAGTGACTCTGTAGTTGTGGTGGTACTGGTTTCTCTGGGGATGTTGTCGGATACATTCGAACATCTGCTTGTAGGTCTGCTGCTTCTATCAGTTTGAGCGGACAGTAGATTCAAAATTTCTCTGTTTTTTCTACTGGAATCTCTTTGACTGGAAGAAATTCTGGCCGAGCACGGTCGAAGATAAGCCGTATTACTTTTCTCAATAGTGTTTTTGGGCAAAAATCTGCTCGTGATATACTTCTTGGGACCGCTATCTAAGTCCTCCCTAGAAGTTGCTTTAGTTATGGTTTTGAATTTCGTTAAATCCTCCTTTGATTCGTTTCTAGAGGACCTGATTAATCCAAACTTGTCACTTTTCGTTATGGACGATCGGCCAGTGTATTTGGGAATAGTAGAACTGGGCGTGCTCGTATCACTACGGTCGTGACTTACTGATCTAACGTTGATCGGAGTCGGATACAATGAATTGCAATTGTGAATCGATAGGGTCGACATTCTCTCGGTGGTTTCTCGCTCGGCACTAGGATCCCTGGATCTTGTCCCTGACGGTCTTGAAATGGAACGGTAAGATACTGGCGGAGGAGCGGTCTCTTTCTTATCAATTTCCTTCAGTCGAGCTGTTACTGGTCCGGCGTATTTATCTAGAAATGATCGTTTTGAGTTGGGCGATCGGTAATGGTTGAATTTACCTGTATCTCGGGAACCGTCACAGAAATGGCCGTACTTTTGCCCTAAACGAAGGGTCGCACTTCTCTCACTACTAGGTTTTGGATCGCTAGCTGGTCGTGGATAAACGCCGCCGTACTGAAACACAGCACACAAAATAGAACGATGACTACTCAATGACTCCTATTATAGACTAAACTGAATCGGCACAAGTGACGTGTAAGTATGCAATTACCTTTAACGAACGCTCGATCTTTGAACTTGAACTTCCAGAGTAAGTCGATGGATTTAGATTTCCTTTGGTCCATGTCGGCGTCTGAAAATAAAAAGTAAATCAATAAGACAATTTGGCGCCAAGCCACTTTTAAATAAAACGTGTAGTTATCAGGAAGTAAAGGTTCCGAAATAAAACAATCGTAGTGCAATGTAATAATAAATCGCGATAATCTCAATTTCCTAAAAATAAACTGGGGCAATATCCCAGAGATGATCGGTTGTGAGGAACTCCATTTGGATTTCCTACTTTGCCTTGTTGTGTCGGTCAACTTGGTCAATGTTGGAAACGTCCTTATATGTCGTCGTTGGGTTAGCAAACCGTTGAAAGGTATGATGCTATAATCGACATCATGCGCACGTAACGTCGACAAACATAAACGACACAAAACAGTGCATTTGGTAATGACGTGCTCTACTTGAGTCAGCTTAAGGTGGGCGGACTTACATGCGTTCCAAGTTATTCGGGATTCTATAAGAAGGATGCCCTATATTATACATTAACATGTTTGCATTTGTCTGCAATTAATTAATTAATTAATCTGCGATTAGTCATGAAACCCTATAAATATCATTATTATTATAATGTAACGTTCAAGATTTATTCTGGTAGGAGTTGGCCGTGGTTTTCTCTTTTTAATATGAACGCAGAGCCATTGATAAGCTCGTATGGTTTGTGTTATTAAAAACAGGACACAGAGTTTCCATATTTCCGCAGTCAATACATGTGCATGTACAAAGAAGGCAGCCATTCTACTACACGTTAATTGTGCATTGTTGCCAACTAGCTCTACTTATTTAAGTTACACATGACAACAATGTAGATATTCTCAACAGATGTCAACTGTTAATAAATGCCAATAAACACGCCCATACGAACAAAAACACAACGAAAAAACTTGTCAGTTTTGGGACAACTGCCAAACATAGAGCTAGCGAAATCTATCTCTTTTTTCATAAGTTGCAACTTATTAGAAGCGCACCTAATTGTATCCGGATGAACATACTGTATGTATTTGTGTTATATTATGACGTACGACTAGTACGGCACAATCGAGTAAAATTTCATATGTACCGCTTCATACGAAGAGTGATCACGAGTAGCAGTGGGCGATTACAGCTTTAAATAATCGATTATACGGATTAATCGATTAATCAAGAACCGATCAATCAAATAATTAATTAATTTAAAAACCGATTAGCGATTATTATCGTTTGATTATAATCGATTTTTTTGCCCAACGCTAGACATCTTTTGTATTACCACGTACCTACTACGCATTTTTGCATATACGCCTTTAATTAGACTAATGTTCGCATTTATATTACGCCAAATTAAAAATATGCAGAAACGAGACCTTAAAATGAGACCGAATTAAAACTACATAAAAGCGAATCGAGACAAAATGTAACAATGAATTGTATATGGGGGTTCTATTTTTGGACTGATCGATAACCAATTAAAGTTAACTTAATAAAATATAATCAAACATCCGATAATCGATTATTCCTTGTATTGATTAATCAAATAACCGATTAATTTAAAAGAATAGCCTGATTATCGATTATCATTTGATTATAATCGATTAATCGGTGTTTTGCCCAACGTTAATCACATTTAATATTAATAATATTTAATATAGACAATTGCCGAATTAGAAGCATAAAATAGCCTTTGCAATAAAATCGCGATACGCTCTCAGAAAACAGCGTGTTTATTTATTTCATCGACATCGCAAGTACGAATTTGTCCATTGATATCTTTGACCTGGTGAAATGCTGATACCACTGAATGCGTGAGTTTGAATCGTCTTAAATCTAAGACGAATTGTACTTAAAACTTTTAACATATGTCGGGGTTTTTCCTTTTCCCGTATAGAAAAAGACTGTACATACCAACGAACACTGACCTTGATCTAGGGGAATTTCGCCATACAACGTAATCTCTGGATATCGACGCCACTTCCAAATAATACGAACTAAAGGGTATGTAACCCAAAAAACTGTAAAATATTACTGTGATGTGTAGTCAATTAAGTTTTTTTTTAATTTTATGTATTTCGATGTTTCGATAAATTTTCAAGTAGTCAGTTTACATTTTGAAACTAACCGTTACACACATTTTTCACGTGACTTATTCTAGCGTTGTCCTCATGTAATGTTCAAGTTTGTTTCAGGTCTCTCTCGAGCCCACCCTGTCAATATTAGAGAGCACAGGTTGCTGTATATTCCTGAAAAACGAGACGACCTTCTCGTGTAATGTATTAGCAGTTCTGGGTGCGTCTGTATGGCTCCAGACGTTCTCCTTTAACGTACCTTATACGTAGGCATAAGGTGGGTTAAGGCTAAGATCAGGGGAATGTATATACTCCTGATTCCCTTTTACCTTGCGGTATCGGGATAAAAAATTGTATACAGTTAGTTTACATATATACATCATGTAACAGGAGTCACTTGGCCGTTATTAATAAATTGGGTTTGAATTTGTATTTTGGTCAACGTACGAGAATTCCGCTTCATAACGAACGTGAACGAAAGTATATCTGGCGATAACAAGCGATAGGAAAAAACGAATTGCGGAAATCGAGCGCGGTTGCTACGATCTCTTAGGACCTAAAAGTTTAACGCAGAGCACGTGACGAAAACGCGGGTTTTCCATTGGTTGTTAGGGCACGCCAGTCGAGGTCATTTGCGTTCAGAAATAAGTGCCTTTTCGGTTTTTCTCGTGGGTGAAATTGCGAAAGAAACGGGGGAGCGGCAGATTCTTGCTTGATTTTGCGAGACGAAATGCACCATTTAGATGGGTTAAAAATTAGATTCGAAGAATAATTCGCGAGCGATCACGTACACTGTTTGAGCGTGAATTTTTCTATCGTTGAACATTCATTATAAGTTCTCAGTGGGTTGAAATTGAATTCTTAGAAAAGTTGTAAAGGCAGGCGCGTACCATTTTGTGTACGAGAAATTTTATTTCGCCTAAGTGAAAATTTGCGGTCGAAATTTAATGAGTGAAATTTATCAGAGCAGTACTGAAGAATTAACAGTTTAACTTCGGGAAAAAATATAATAAGTACCGAGAACTCCGAAAGGAAGAGAAAAGTTTAAGTAAGTTCGGGCTCGCGACGAATTGTGAGTTACCTGCAATTTTATGTGTGCGAATAGACGAATTACAGTAAATTCCAGGACGAAGCAGCCTCATTCGTAATAAGATCGTTTATTTACGAGTAATAAAATTCACGCGAAGGAACATATTCGAGTCGGAAAAAAGCTTTAGTGCTTTTAAAACCAAACCGCGAGTAAATAAAGTGATATTAAAACTTATGATAAACAAAGAAGTTCATACCGCTAGCTATCAGTAACGGCTGGTTAAAAGCAGGTTCTTCAAAGTTGAGTGACGTTAAAACCGGCTTCGCAGGGACATTTTTGTTTTGCATTTATCATGGAATCAACTGCATATTTCTAGAGCAACATTCTCCAAGGAGAAATAAGATCAATTGGTACCCACTCCAATAACTGTTATTTTTAGGAATTTGCAAAAGTCTTGTTCGAAGTAATTTTAATATTCCTAAAGGAATCGACCCATGAAATATATTTACATGAAACAGATTTTGTATTGTATTCATTGATAAGAATCGAATCCAAAGATTCATTGATTAAAATTTTGAATTTAATGTCAGTAATATTAGCCCTTTCGTTAGATTAAAAATGTGTTTATCGCTCAGAAGTGTGTAGATTTGAAACTGGAGAAGGTACTAGGAATTCATTATGTATAAAATATGTTGACTGAAGGTCAGCTATGAAGAAAATACTTTGAAGTAAGAAATGAATACGTATAGCTTTTATGTTGTTATATCCCTTATGTGCGTCTATGGAATAGAAACACCTATCGATGAGGAGATTTTAGGTGTAAGTAAAGTACTAAAGAATTTTTCTGCCAGTTTCGAGACCGAATTGTGGTCGTTTTAGAAAAAAGTTTTTCACTAAGTTAGACGCCGTTTGCCAAAGTTCGAGACCGAGTTGCAGTCCGTTGAAGAAGCGTTTTTGCCATTATTTTAAGCCGAGGTGCGTCTCCGCTGTAAGAAAAGAAAGTTTGTTTTACCATGTTTAAGGCCGGTTTAATAGAAGAAGCGTTTCGTCATGTTCCTAGGCCAAGTTTGATTTTGTTTTTTTGGAATTTAAGAAGATCCGCGTGTCAACGTAGGTCCTAACATTCAGGGGAGCTGTATGAGAATTTTTATTTTAAATTTTGAGTTGGGCGATTGTCTGGAACACAACGACACGTAAATCCAAACATTTTAAAACATTTTCACAGTAATCGTACAAATAATACGCTTTTATTTCGTTAATGCAGTTTCATTTTCTGTCGATTAACGTGGTGAATAGTAATATTTTTACGTGAGAACACGTACAGCGATTACGTATTCAACACGATGGGATTATAGCCAGATAATGTGGTACTATCGAAACGAAAAGCTGTCCTAATTTTTTATGAAGTGGTAGTAGATAATTACAATAAAACGCATTAATATGAAAACAAATTAAACTAAGTAGCAAAAACATTAAAGATGACCTAAAAATAATATAAATTGGTTGCTGTAAATTACTAATAAGTACATCGTTACCATTTAGTTATTTTCGTGTCAGTTCCAATTCAATGCAATTAGGAAGCGAAATATTAGAAACAAACATAAAAATTAATTGTGGGATTACTGTCTTTATACAAATTCGCCGTAATCGCAACTATATAAATGTTTTACTTTCATATACATATTTACTTGATTGCGTATATAAATTGCACGCTTTAGTGCTACTTTAAAAGGATCCATAACAATTTTTTAAGTTAATTAGATGCCAAGGTATTAAAAAAATATGAAAGTGAAATCTCCAGGGTGCCGCCGCTTGAACTTTTATAACGTGTTTGTGTGATTATGCGGCAATAACATAAATTTTATTAGAAAAATTCTACATTTGTTATTTTTATTTCGGAAGGAATGGTTTGTTTTCAACCAAATTTGTTTTTGTAAATTTTCGCAAATTGCAGCA